TCTGTATCATAATGGGTATCATTATGAAACGGATTATGGGCATATAAGTGCATTATTATAATACGGGTGTAGAAAAAAACTTTTTAGAATGAAACCGTCTCTATTTAAAATAATTATAAATAAGAAAATATATATTAATTAAACTTTATACACACATAAATTATTGTGATAACACCATTTTTCAAATAGATTACGCAATGAAATGTCTTGAACACATAACACTGTATTTGGTCTCTATGTAAAGACGGTATCCATTTAGTCATTGTTTTTTTTTTTTTTCGAATTCTTTGGAAATTGTAATAATACCCATTAATTATTTATAATCAACGTTTAATTACCTTTATAAATCAATTATATTTAATTTTGACTAGCTCTTAGATATTTTATACTAAACATTTACTTAAGTACCTTTAATTCAATCAAAAAACAAATCATCAGATGAGACTAGATTTGTCTCAGTGGTTAATTCACTCTTTTCTAATACACACTTTTGGGAAAATAGTTTTCATGATAAAAGGGCGCTAATGACTCTTTTTTATTTTTTAAAAAGGCAGAATTAACTGGTTAACTCAGAATTATATATAATTTCGGCAAAGAGAGAATTGTTGTAACCATTAAAAATAAGATTTAACAAGCATATAAATAAATTTGTTTATTTTTAAATTGTGGAAGTGCAATGACTTTAAATAAATATACCAAAGTTTACATGGGCATCGAAATTCACATAAAAATAAGTGATCTCATGTGCTGGTAAAAACAAAAAAATGTCAGATTTAGATATTATACTCTGACTTGGACAATCGTACGATAATTTTATGATTTGGCCTCGGCGATCTACTTAGCGATAATTAGTTACACTGAACCTGAATTGTCTCCTGCGGTAGTAGTTCCCCGAAGATTCCAAACATGACCCAACGAGAATATAGATATGTCTGAAGGAAAAAATAGGTAGCATATCTTTCACTGCTAAGAATTCGCTTCCTAAACAAAAATAAATTCTGTTTTTCACAAGTCCCTTATATGAGATATAAATCAAACTTTTAAATAACTATTTTTTAAAATTTCCAACAATTAAAAAAAAATAATGTTAACAATATGAAATTCCAGCAACCAAAAGGAATTACTAATAGTAGAGGAGCCCACGATGCTAAATGGGGATTTACTCGAGCGTCATATAATATATACCTTTTCATCGGTGGGGGAAGCGGCTATAGATTTTTAAATATGTAAAAAAATACTGTTGCATGGACATACTCGAGCGCGTCAAATATTGATAGCATCAATGTCCTACGTATTTTTAATAATGTACGTATGTTAATCTGATCGTTTGCATGATGCGGGTGCTTGTACGTAAGGGTTGAAAATTAAAAAAAAAAATAATCGAGCGCGTCAGATTTTCTTAGGGGGTGTTAAGTGAGCCAAAAAAAGCTCTCATTCAATAATCTGACGATTTCGATGTGACGCAAATTCGCGGCCGTTATTATAATGTGCAAACAAAATTCGCCATTTTGAAATACTCAAGCGCGTCAGATTAAGATATATATGGTTCATCTTTATGTCTCAGACGTGCTGTCTCATAATCTGACGATTATCTAGAGGGATTCGCCTAATCTAAAAAAAAAAATAATATTTTTTTAATTCATTGAACTTAAGGTTTATATGGACCCACCTCCTCACTCGTTTCTGACTCTAGAGATGGCTCTACCTGTCGAATCAAATTTAGTACACAATTTATTAAAGTTACAGGGTTCTATCTTCTGTATTAGAATAATATTTCGTTAGTTTATATCGCCGCCAAAAGAGACTGCTAGCACAATAATAGATTACGCGGGAGATCTTCATTATTCGATACGAAGAACGTTGCCAAACTTCAATATAATTATGTTTTATTTGTTTATATTGTAAGCCGCGGGAGGTGAGGTGTTGAGCGCGAACGGCCCAAGCGATCCAGCTAAGAGATGGATATATGACCTGGCGAGTTTTTGTTAAGTCTTCCACTGGTCCGCTCTAAATCATTCTCAACTATGAACTTTACTGAAATAAAATTATTTAGGGTGAGCGGATTATCCTTAAAATATGGTATAAAATTAGGACATAATATAATCTATGTGGTTTGACGACTGGACTCAGTTCGCGCAGTCAAAAAATTGAAATAAAAAAAAAACTGACTGTAGGATACGTTTGCGCGCTATGGTTAGGTACTATTTAATAATAAAATGAATAGTCAATAATTTCAATGAAAACTATCCATAATTTTAAAGGTTAGAAGAGAAAGAAAAAAAATAGACAGAAAGGGAAGGAAAGAAAGAAAGAAAGAACGTAAACAAAAGCTCAAGAAATGCAACTTCCAAACGATTCAATGTACACCTCAGGTATACATTTTTGAAAGAGTAGAAAAATGTGATAGTGTACAGGGTAACTAATATGTACTATGTACCTTAAAGGTAAGAAAATGACTCAAAATCAATCCCACATAAATTAATTTTATGAAGTTAAATGACAACCGGTTTCGGGATTAGGCCATCATCGGGTCTAAAAATAAAGTAATAAGCGCTTACAATATAATATGACGTCTCCATAAAATATTTACAAAAATACACATGTATGATTAAATGGCAGATGTAAGAAATATCATATGTGGGAAATATGATATTTTTTACAACTACCTTACTATAGCTGCGGGAAGTCAAGAAGAAAAAGGAATTTGAGCACTTTTAGTTATTGCAGCTAAAACAACTAAATAACTAATTAATTCTATAATTGATCCTCTTTTATAATTTCTAAATAAAAAATAAAATTTCAACGTTGGGGCTCGGTTTTTATCATGCACGTGTATTTTTTTAACCTTTTTATGGGGACGTCCTAGTAGTGTTTTGTAAGCGTTTATCACTTAATTTTTAGACCTGACGATGTCCTATGGCCAAAAACCGGTTGTCATTTAACTTAATAAAATTAATTTATATGGGATTGATTTTGAGTTATTAACTTACTTATAGGGTGTTTCATTAAAAAAAAACAAGAAGAGTGGTCATGGGGAAAGGACCGTGAAAGTTACAACGTGTATACATGAGCAGAATTGTCCCTTTGTATGATTTTCGACTTGTAGATACGTGTAGATACTTTTTCCGGGGGTCCATATAAACCTTAATTAATTGAAAAGCTCAGGAAATAGTATGCAAATAAAAAAGTGTATGTTTTTCAAGTAGAATACTACTTGTATTTATTCGGACTATAGTTTTTATTTTTTTGAATTGTGTTAAATCAAGTACTCTTGATGGGAACTTATGAATAAAAAAATGAAAAAGTTAAAATTTCAGAAATTCAAAATAATATATCTTATGACACCAAAAACTTTTGCCGAATTTTGTAAAATTATACTGAGTAATAAAAAAATAGTCATTAATAATTTTTAAAAATGTTCAACTTTAATTCCCTTTATTACGAAAACGAAATAGAACATTTTATCAAAGCATGTTTCGTTAAATCAGAGACTCTTTAAGTTTTTCTATGGTCCATTATTTCCTGAACACCCTACCCTGTATAATAGTGTTAATGACTTAGCGTTAATGAGTTAGTGTTAATGGTGTTTAATATATTAGTGCTAATGTGTTAGTGTTAATATCTAAGTTTTCTTGACCTCGTTTTGACCTAAAATCGGTCTTTATTCTTTTTAAAGCCGAAGCATTATAAATTGGTATCTAAATTTGAAGTAAAGTTAAAATATTGGGGAACGTATAGTTTAAATTTTTACCTAATTTATATTTTTTAATTGCTATGGGGTCCAGACTCCTCCGGGCCTCTCTGGGGACTGGGCTCCTGAGCGCCCGCTCCAAGCGCCCAGCGGATAAACCAGGACTGAGTGAGAGAGGAATAGAAACGCGGAGAGGGAAATATAGGCATCACGCAGCTGCACGCATTAAACTTTATCTACGAATTTTTGTTATTTCGGCTTGCGGAAATCGTCAGATTATATATTTTTAGTTATCCTTGAATTATTTCCTTCCAAATAAAAAAACAATTAGTTACGCTCGAGAATGTCGAGATGATGTTTTTTTTACAACTTTGCTGCCCTCCCCTTTCTTTACGTCACTCTCAAATTGTCAGATTAGTGGAATATACACTTTTTAGACTTTTTAGCATGTAATTAACTCACCCTACCTCAATCTGACGCGCTCGAGAATTTCTGATGATCAATTTTTTTTACTAATCTGATCCTTTATCCTTCACGGATGACATTGATAACTTACCGCTAATTGCAGCCCAGACACTTGTATTCAGTTCAACGATGACATTTTAAATGAATGATCGAGAAAAGATTTAAAATCCATTAACTGACCAAATAATTCTCCCACTTCGCGAAATTTCCTTCTCTCAGCAATATTTCATGCGGCGACAATTAAACTTTAAACTATTTTAATACCAATTTTATACAGGATGTCACCCATTCAAAATAACATTTTTTAAATGTTAAAAAATTTAGAAATAATGTTTCTCTAATTTTGGCTTATTGTGATATTTTTGTCAAAATGATCTACTCTACGCAACCAGTTGCATACTGTAGTGGTTTCGAAAAATGCATTATATCACCAGTTGCGAAAGGAAAACAAATAAAAATAAATATTTTCTAAAGAAGTGCAGGTTGACTTATAAAAATAGAATTTGGTTAAATTTGCAACCTATTAGTAATGTTGTTTTGATCTTTATTTTTCATTCTAAATCAGCACAAAATAATAAAACGAACGCAATCAATTCCGGAAAATAAAATGTACCGCAAAACCTATAAGTACATGTGACAAATGACATTAGCAGGTGATACAGCAGCTTCAATACACGAGTAGCGACTCCTCTCCCTACTACACCCATATTTTAAAGTTAAAATAACATTGAAATAGTTTATAACATTAATTTAGTTATAAATGGGTAAACATTTTGTGAAATTTATAGAGAAAAATCTCAAAATTCAGATAGCTCCAGCATTTACCAAATATTTATTGTTTCAGATAGTGGAGAGTCTCAAAAACTGGATTTACACAGCAAAAGAAATATACGCTATCACAACAGATTCCGTATACAACTATCAAAACCCTTACAATGTTGAAAAGCCTATTTCTCTTATTAGAGTTCTTACAAATTCAGAGAATACTTTTAATTATAAAAAACTAGAACAACCAAATTTAGTCACAGGGTTGGGTGCTTGTTTATTAACATATTGTATACATCAATCATTGGGAAAATGTACCCTATTTGTTATTTATATAGACAAATCACATTTAGATTCTTATAGCAGTACTGCTGTTCTGGAGGTTTTAAAAAAATTAGATATACCTATTAAAAATAGTAATGTTAAAATTAGTTCAACTTCTAATAATAATTTATACATGTAATTATAAAAATACTTTTTTTTAAATAAAATGTTCAAAACAAAAAATTGTTTTTTATACAAAATTCATTACAAATATGTTAAATATACATTTTCACGATTCAAATTAATTTTCCCGGGCCTGTCATTTGTTACCTATAAGCAGAGTTGGGTAGTATCCGGATACTTTATGTTTATCCGAAACCTGTATCCGGATATATTTCAAATTTTATATCCGGTATCCGTATCCGTGACCAAATTTGTAAGTATCCAGATACTGGATACTTTTTTCGCCATTCGGATACTTTTAAATTATTTACCACAATCGTAACTGATCCAATCCATATTATCTCTATTAAAATATATAATCGAAATACTTTGAACTACTCTGTATAATTAGAAATAAAATACGTATTTTTCAATATTACAATATTTAACACAATTGCAATAGGTACCTATTTAAATAAAAAATAGTAAAATAATTATTTTATTATGATTTGTAGTTTTGTTTGGTGCACCCTGTAAAATTTAAAATAAGGCAAAAAAAATTTTTCTCATCGCCAAGGATGAATTCGACGATTCACCCAATATACAGACGGTCGGGATTCAGCATCTTGCGGCACGTTTTTACAGGAAAAATCCTGCAAACCCTTATCCGGTGTTAGCGTCACGAACTTGTGGAGATTCCATTAGCCCTGTTAGAACAGAAGTAAAAGTTGGAAATGCTTTTGCCAGTTCTCCCACTTTATACACATAAATTGACAGGTTGTCAGCGGATCTCACCGAAGTGGACGCGATACATTGGCGTACAAAATTATTTTATAGATGTTAATAACAATTTCGAGTAAATAGTTTAATAAATTGTGAATAGCTGTTGAAATTTTGTAAAATTATAATTTGAATATTATAATACATGTTTAATAATTATTTATAATCCATAAATACATGCGATTGTCCGGTTCCGCCGATAACAATTTAAAATTACTTATTCTATGAAACGACACTGGCAGGTAAACATTACTGTGAAATTCTCGGAGCCGCCCGACGTGGTTTGACGTTTACCCCCTCTCTACCTACCAAAAGACTTTTCAACTTTTACTTTCTCTATCATTGCGTTCGGTTTGCCACGTTCCTTTAACTCCTTTAACACTTTTAACTCCAAACGGCTCTTTTAGCGTTCGGTTTAGTCCGATTAGTGACAGTTTAACACGCTTAAATGTCATTTAAAAGCACCCTAAAATTTGTCCCGCTCCAGCCCCTGACTGACCGAACTCGCCTCTTATGTTTCAGTTGTCAAAGACAAGTGACGGTTGTTCCTGTGTTTTTATAGGCGAGTTCGGTCAGTCAGGGGCTGGAGCGGGACAAATTTTAGGGTGCTTTTAAATGACATTTAAGCGTGTTAAACTGTCACTAATCGGACTAAACCCAATGAAATGGAGTGGGGTAGAATGCTTGTCAATAGACTTGATGTGCGACTCTATGGGCGAAGATAGGTTATTTTTTATCTCACTCGGGAGTATTTAAAATAGCCAGTTTCTATTTCACATTGTTATTGTCTGATCCACCAGCTTGTGGATTGAACAATAACAATGTGAAACAGAAAATGGTTATTATAAATAGTCCCGAGTGAGATGAACAATAAAAATGGCTGCGCCCATCGAGTCGCACCTTGTTCTAATAGTACAACAGATACATTGGCATTCTACCCCCCTCCAGTTCATTGACTAAACCGAACGCTAAAAGAGTCGTTTGGAGTTAAAAGTGTTAAAGGAACGTGGCAAACCGAACGCAATGTATAGTGCAATATAACTAAACTTTCTGTATCAGTTTTAGGGGCCTATTCAGTAACTCTGAACGACGTCGTTAATAGACGATAATCGTTCACAGACGACTTTTCTTATTCAGTAGACAACGATTGTCGTTGAAAATAGACAAACATGGTTGTAAAATTGTCGTTCATCAACGATAGCCAAAGAGCTGTCGTTAATAATATGAAGTGTCGTTATAGTGATTTTTGCATTCCCTCTCATTTTTTATTGTGAATCAGGATATGTTCTAAATAATAAAAACACTTTTTTACAAATTTTACAACTAAATTGCCATATACCTAATACAGCAAGTAAAATTTGTAAGGAATTTTTTTCTAATTTATTTAATTTTAAAAATAAATCTGATTCAAAGTTAGGATTGCCCATTCAATCATTTACTATTGGATTCTTATTAACAGTGATGTTCCTAAAGTAGCACTGCGAAACTGTAACAAAACCTATATTATGGAAGTACCTATAATACTTCTCCGTAACCTACACAAATTTGGTTTGTTTTTCAAATCCAATAAATACAACTTGTACTGTTCTCGAGTTGTTTTTTGTTTTTTTTAATATATCCATACTCATTTAAATAAACCCTACATACAATATGACCAGCAAAAATGGCCCGCGAGAAACAGAATTCCTACGAATCGAGAATCGCCCCCTGATCGTGTGGTAGAATTTTTATTTTACGTTCAAAAAAAATGACAAATATACCGGGTGTTCAAATTAAAGGGTTACAGTTAAATACCGCCTTTTATAAAAAAATTAAAGTTTAATAATTTTTTGGGTAAAACATTTTAGCTAAAATTGTTTTTTTATAGCAAACCATAATATGGCCAACTTTTTTTCGCGCAGCAAAATTTTCAAGTAGATGTTACTCAATAAGTAGAAATCCAATAAAAAAATGTTTCCTTTAGAAGTTTCTTGTTTTTTTATGAACTCTAAGAATACCTATGTAAAAAAATAGGGTTCCAATTTGAAAAAAAATCCACCTCGATATGGCCATATTATGGTCAGCTATAAAAAAAATAATTTAGCCAAAATGTTTCCCCTAAAAAACTATAAAACTTTTGTCTGATGCTTTTTTTTATAAAATGCATATTTTTGGCGATATTTAACTGTAAAACTTTAATTTAAACGCCCGCTATAATCATCAACATACGTTCTTTTATCACAAAACACTAAATTATAATACCAACTTACTAGAAATCATCGTTCAGATTTGGTAACTAGAAACAACGTAACGACTTTGTTATTGAATAGAGTTTCAAAAATTATCGTTATAAAAGTCGTTGGTTGAACTGTCGTTAGCTTAACGATGTCGTCCATAAACGATAAATTACTGAATAGGGCCCTTAGGGGCCTATTCAGTAACTCTGAACGACGTCGTTAATAGACGATAATCGTTCACAGACGACTTTTCTTATTCAGTAGACAACGATTGTCGTTGAAAATAGACCAATATGGTTATAAAATTGTCGTTCATCAACGATAGCCACAGAGCTGTCGTTAATAATATGAAGTGTCGTTATAGGGATTTTTGCATTCCCTCTCATTTTTCATTGTGAATCAGGATGTGTTCTAAATAATAGAAGCACTTTTTTTACAAATTTTACAACTAAATTGCCGTCTACCTAATACAGCAAGTACAATTTGTAAGGAATTTTTTCTAATTTATTTAATTATTTTAAAAATAAATCTGATTCAAAGTTAGAATTGTTTTTATTACAACTGACTCCTTGACATTCCATTTAGGTGTGCCTGATGATGAAGTGACAACTTCGAAATCGGTCGCCAATAAATTGACTTGTGAGAAATAAAGGACCTTTTCTTTAACCTTTACACTTAAAGTTAGGATTGCCCATTCGACCATTTACTATTGGATTTTTATTAACAGTGCTGTTCTTAAAGTAGCACTGCGAAACAGTAACAAAACCTATATTATGGAAGTACCTATTATAATAATACTTCTCCGTAACCTACACAGAAAACGAGGCTAATGGCCTGAGTTGTCGAAGCCGATGACAACAGAAAAGATAATCAGGAAAAAGGATTGATAGTATCAAATTTGGTTTCTCTTTCAAATCCAATATATACAACTTGTACTGTTCTCGAGTTGTTTTTTTTTGTATTTTTTTGGAATAGTTCTCAGTTTTTTTTAATATATCCCTACTCATTTAAATAAACCCTACATACAATACGACCAGCAAAAATGGCTCGAAAATGGCCCGCGAGAAACAGAATTCCTACGAATCGAAAATCGACCCCTGATCGTGTTGTAGGTTAAGAACAATAATTAATATATTCTGAAAAACAAATGAATATATCTACTGGTAGAATTTTTATTTTACGTTCCAAAAAAATGTCAAATATACTGGGTGTTCAAATTAAAGTGTTAAAGTTAAATACTGCCTTTTATAAAAAAACGAAAGTTTTATAGTTTTTTGGGGAAAACATTTTGGCAAAATCGCGCAGCAAAATTTTCAAGTAGGTGTTACTCAATAAGTAGAAGTCCAATAAAAAAATGTTTCCTTTGAATTTTCTTATTATTTTATGAACTCTAAGAATACCTATATGTAAAAAATAGGGATCCCATTTAAAAAAAAAAAAAAATCCACCTCGATATGGCCATATTATGGTCAGCTATAAAAAAAAATTAATTTAGCCAAAATGTTTCCTCCAAAAAAACTAAAAAACTTTTGTCTGAAACTTTTTTTATAAAATGTATATTTTCGGCGATATTTAACTGTAACCATAGAAATACTGTAACACTTTAATTTAAACACCCGGTACAAACATCAACATACGTTCTTTTATCACAAAACACTAAATTATAATACCAACTTACTAGAAATCATCGTTCAGATTTGGTAACTAGAAACAACGTAACGACTTTGTTATTGAATAGAGTTTCAAAAATTATCGTTATAAAAGTCGTTGGTTGAACTGTCGTTAGCTTAACGATGTCGTCCATAAACGATAAATTACTGAATAGGGCCCTTAGTGCCTAACTATACGTAAAGGTAAGTAGGTGTAGGTACTTTGAATTTTTTGTTTTGTAAAATGTCTAATTACATTATTAGTTCTTAAAATCTAGTCGAGAAAATACATTTATGACGTTATTGCTCATAATGTTACTGATCATGTGTTATTTATGTTGTCATCAACATCAATAAAGTAAGATCTGACAAGATCAAATATACGAGCCTGC